CTGAGTTCTAGCTTTACTGTCCTTCCTTCCCAGGAATGCGCTTGGTTTGTTCCCACCTGGTCTCGTGCCGGAAGTGCTCCTCCACAAGATCTTAGTTTAAATGCCACATCTTAGGCCTTTCCTGATACATACTGTGAACCGCCATTTCACTCTGTCACATCACTGTTTTATTTTCTTCATAGCAGACATCAATCTCTGAAATTATTTATTTGTTATCTGTATTTTTGTCCCTCTGTCTCTTTTGTCACTACTGTATCACCTGTGCTGACAGTGCCTGATTTATAAAAGGCCCTAATAAATGTTTATCCATTGACTAAGTAATGATAGCTGCCAATTATTTAGTACCTACTATGTCCCACGCACTTTACAATTCTTTATTTCTTCCTCATAACATTAAGGGGATAGATTTTTTTAAAAACCCATTTTAGAGTTGAGCAGATAGAGTGACCCAGAGAAGAAAAAACTTATCCAGGGCCGCCCAGCTGGCAAGTGGGTGAGCCCAGATTTTTAACTCATGTCTGGCTGAGTCTGTGCAGTTTTTTGGTGATAACACTGGTGAATTTAGGGGGGTTATACCTGGCTTATGAGTACAAGGTGAGACTAGACAGGTATCAAAATTTCACTATCCTCATTCTTCTAAAAGGTAACAGTTTTAGAGCACTTCCTATGTGCTAAGTGCTTCCTATTTTCTTTTTTTCTGGCGTTCTTCATCACGCCCTAGTTTTGTTGCAATTTTGTTGAGGTTTCACAAGATGTATCAGTTGTAGTCATTCAGCTTCCATTATGAATTGATTCAAGTCCAGGAGGGTTCAAGTCCAGGAGGGTGACACCTGCTAGAAGGTAAGTGGAGCCAGGTGCATTAGGCCCTCCCGGCCTTGTAGCTTCACATTTCTCAAAGTGTGGTCTCTAGACCACAAACAGTGACATCACCTGGGTTGTTTGCTAAAATGCACATTCTTGGGCTCATCCTAGACTTGTTGCATGAGATTCTCTAGGGGTGGACCCATGGCATCTGCTTTTTTACAATCAACCAAGGTTATTTTGATTAAAATGGATGTATGAAGATCACTGGTCATAGACATGTATTCTAGCTACTTAGGTGTTTTGGTTTTGTTCTTGATTTTTAAAAGATGTGTATTTGCTTATTAATTATTCATTTTATCAAAACTCATTTGCATGGCTTTTAGTCTCTCACCATGGAGCAAGTAGGCTTTTTTCCCATTCTTTTTTTTTTTTTTTTACGGTACGCGGGCCTCTCACTGCTGCGGCCTCTCCCGCTGCGGAGCACAGGCTCCGGATGCGCAGGCCCAGCGGCCATGGCTCACGGGCCCAGCCGCTCCGCGGCATGCAGGATCCTCCCAGACCGGGGCACGAACCCGCGTCTTCTGCATTGGCAGGCAGACCCCCAACCACTGCGCCACCAGGGAAGCCCTTTTTTCCCATTCTTAATGACTCTTAGGCTCCAAGTTCCAGACCCAAGTTGGCTACCGTGGTCAGTGTGTTCAATGTTTCCTGCTTGGGTGAAGCAGGGCGCCTCATTTTTGTCTCTGAGCTGTTGCCTGGCTGTGTGTGTGGGGGAGGCTGGTCTGTTCTCAGGGGGGCTGGATAGTTGTACAAGAGCAGCCCTTCTTATACACTTGGTCCCATTAAAAAAATTTTTTTAAATCAAGTTTGTTCTTGTTACCTCCTTTCCAGAAACAATTCTAGAATAATCAAAATTCCCAGATCTTCAAGTCTGTGCTTCCCTCCCCTCTGTTTACTGTCTAAACAAAGGCCCCATGTTTTAATAGATGCCATAACAGTAAAATTAACTTTATTAGATTCTAGATGGATTTAAAATGTAACCTAATGGCATCTCTGTCTGGCTTGGAAGTCATGTGCTTCATTTTTAGCAGAGAATGCAGTTGCTGAGCCTGGTGGGGGATTTAATGATTATTGAATTAAAGTGGCCAAATAATATGAGCATTCCTCATCTTTCGATGCTGCCCTGATGGTTTTTGGCTATTGTGTATTGAGAAACCTGGGCCTCCAGCTTGGATTTTTCATCTAACCCACCTTCTGTCCTTGACTCAGGAGTTCATGAGTTATGCCACAAGAGAAAGTCAGCACAGTTATGTTTCCCAGCTCACGTCCTTCATCTGGTTTGTGAGCACCCTAGGTTCTCAGAAAGCTTGACATATGAGGCAAATTGCAGTTTACTGCCCTTGTGCCAAAGAACTCACAACTAGCCAGCTCCTTCTCCTCCCAAAAGTCCTAGCATATACTTTCATTAAATAATAACATGCTACACTGAGATACTACTGTTCACTTTATCCTAATGCTTTTATATCCACCCCTTAAAAGAAAAGTAGAGCCTTTATTAGGCTATTTCACAGAGGGGAAACTGAGGCAGAGATCACTCATCGGTTACTGGCTGAGCCCAGTCTGATTTATGGCCTGTCCTTTTTCTGCTGGTCCTTGCCAGTGTGCTTTGTGGCACCATCAGGTCTGGGAAAAGCAAGCTGAATAGTTTTTGGCCCTTAGGATCAAAGGTGTATATGACTTATATGTTCTCAGCTTATTAAGAACCTAGAATATTTGGTAGAGAGTTTCATGGGTAGGAGATCCATTAGCGGATGGTCATGGCTGCTTCATTTTGGACCCTTTAGTCTAAGCTTCTAAGCATTATTGTAAGCACACCCCAGGAGGTAAATGTAAAAATAATTTTCTTGCCAGTTTTTCCTGCATGGTATCCTAGCGACAATGTACTGTCTGTCCTTGGGTATTGGGGCACCAACTGGGGCAGTACGAGAACTTGGCAGAGAGAAGGCATGTGAAAGGCATGGAAGGCATAGTTTCTTTTATCTTTTGGAGGGGTTTTAACCCACGTAAGCAGCATTTTATTTTCTGATTATGAAGGTAATATATATTTATTGTCAGACCACTTGGAAAACACAGAAATTCCCAAGGAAGGAAATAAAAACCAACTCTAATTCCAATATTGTTAACATTTTGCTAAATATCCTTCTGGTAGTCTTTTTTTCTGAACTGTCAAACAGTGATGAGGTTCTAAACTCAGAATATAAGGGAAAAGAATCCCAAAGTCAAGATTACCCTACAACCACCATGGATAGTAAGTTTTATGTACTCTGAAGTTTGGAAACTATTGAACTAGACTCAAGGAAAGAACAACTTAAAAAAATCTATATGAAATGAAAAGTCTGGGGGAAAAACCATTCTACCTTTAAGATTACTATCAAATCCCTAACGGTAAGTGGATGGCGGTGGAGAATTTAACTGTGTTCTTGCCTGTCTGTAAGGTTTATTCTGTTCTGTTTTAATATTAAACTTCTATAACTTTCATATGGGTTAATAGATTTACTTGTGAGGATGACAAGCCATAGTGATGTCACGTTTTGGTCCAAGGGGTAGGTTCTGAGTCATCCTAAGAAAAATGAACACAGTACCATTCCACCATAGGTGCTTACCACCCCTCTCAAACCTATACACAGACACATGCACACACAATTGGGATCATTTGTCTTACAACCTTCATTTTGTTTTATTCAGCAGTAAATATTCTATGTATTAGGTTTAAAGTTGCATATATTCAGTTGCAAAGATGTACCACAGTTTATTAACCAATCATTTTCTGTTATAAAAATCCTTGTGTATAAATTTTTGTGTTCATCCATAATTATGTCTTGAGGATAAATTCTTAGATGGAGAATTGATGGTTCAAAGGATAGTACATTTTTAAGGCTTTTAAATCATATAGCTAATTTGTCCCCAGGAACATTATGTGCTTCCTTCAAAGTGTCTGTTTCCCAGCATCACTGGAAATTATCATTCAAAAGAGCCTTCCACAGCATGCCTTTTGGATGACCCACGGCTTCTGTTCATTGCCTGGCCAGTTTATCCTGGAAAGAATAAAAGAAACGAGGATGGAGGTGATAAGTGCTTGTGGCTAGGTTCATGCTGGAGGAATGGGGACAGATAACAGGAAAAGGGGGAGCTTGGAGACCATTTCTTTAATCCTGCTTCCAAGTTATCTTCAGCAGAGATCTTTTAATGGTGAATACTTAAAGGGAATATATAGCTTTAAAAGCACATTCAATATTATAATTTTTGATTTGGAAAATGATTTGATGTCTTGTCATCATAGATACTACAGAACAGGAACGACAGTTCTATGTTTATCCAAAAGGGAGTATGGTTTAAAAAAAAAAAAAGTGTAGAAATGCTGTTCTAATCCAAACTCTCATTTCACACAGAGAAACTGAAACTAGAGAGTTGGAAGGGATTTCTTTAGAGCCACACAGCAAATTGATGATGGAGTTGGAGCCAGAGTAAAGGCTCCCGACTACCTGTTCAGAGCTCAATGATGAGGTGGGCCAGCCTGGTTCAGGGGGAGATGAGAAAGCAGACATAGGGCCTCTTTGGACAGGCGGCCAGGCTCTCTTCCAGGGCCTGTGAGCTGCCTCAAGCCCCTCCTGGACAAAGACCTAGGTGTCTCGGGCGTGGCATTTCACGGTCTTCTTGATTATCTCCACCTGTGAATGGGAGCAGACCTACACTTTAATAACCAGGGTCTTTGCCTGAACTTTGCCTTCCCCTGGATAACTTCTCTTCATTCCTCGTCAGCTCAACTGTCACTTCCTTAGGGAAGCCTTTCCTGACTGCCAAGATAGTTTAGGGTCCCTGTGTGCATTCTTGTAGCATCTCTTACCTTTAATATCCTTGTCACAATTGTGATTACCTTGCTTTATTTTATTTTATTTTTTTTTTGCGGTACACGGGCCTCTCACTGTTGTGGCCTCTCCCGTTGCGGAGCACAGGCTCCGGACGCGCAGGCTCAGCAGCCATGGCTCACGGGCCCAGCCGCTCCGCAGCATGTGGGATCTTCCCGGACCGGGGCACGAACCCGTGTCCCCTGCATCGGCAGGCGGACTCTCAACCACTGTGCCACCAGGGAAGCCCCCTTGCTTTATTTTTAATCTCTCTCTCTCGGTGACTAGACTATCTTCTCTATGAGTGTAGGGCTCTATGAGTGTAGGAATGCTGTTTTATCTTCTGTTGGTCCTGGCATATACTAAGCCTTAATAAATGCTCGAATGTTTGACTATTTGGATGAGTGAATTAGAAGTGTGTGTGAGCTGCTGCGTGGTGCTGTTTTTGATTGCCTACGGAACCAGGAGAGCTGTCCCTTATTGCATTGAGAGACAAGAGAGAGAAAGGAGACCCAGTTGAGGCTGCTGGTATAGCCACAAGCCAGAGGGTATGGTCTGCTTCCCTGGGTGCCCCATTGCGGCCTCCTGGGTGGTGGGGTCAGCACCCACATCCAATCAAGCATTTATTACTGGCTTGGCAGAATCAGCCCCGGCAATTTCGTAGAGGTGGTTAGAGAGGAGCCTCCTTGAGTCATTCTGAGGAAGAGAATTCAAGGTCAGGACTCACCTTGGCGGGGAGAGGACAGCAACCCAGGTCACCTGCGACCTGGTCTTCACAGTAATGGGCGCTTGCGGCAACGGCTGTAAGGTCTGCTGGTGGCTGGCTGGGCGCCAGAGCAGCGCTGCTGTTAGGCGGCCGGTCCTGCCCCCTCCGCCGGTTTTCCTCCCCCTCCTCCGTCTCCCTGCCCACTCCTGCTTGCAGCATCCTCTGCAAGGAGAGGAACGTGCCGCGCTCGGACGCGCTGTCCTGGCCGAGCGGCGGCACCCGGGTCGCACTCTGGACCGCCGGGGTCTGCCGTCTGGCGCTGCGCCAAGTGCTTTGATGCGCGCTGATGTCAAGTGGGTGTGGGCTCTTAGGGAAGGCCGGGCGAGGACGAGGAGGGAGCGAGATGCGCCGCGGGCGCGCTGAGGCCGCAGCGCGCTCCGCCGCCCCGCGCTGCTGACCGGTAGCCGGCCCCGGCTCCAGGAGCGGGCTCATGGAGCCGCGGCGCTGCCCGTCCGGGGACGCGTGCCCTGCCGCCCTGGGGGGCTGGAGGGGGCCGCCTCGGGGGGCCTGCAGGTGTGTCCGCGCGCCGTAACTTTCGGGGGGCTGCGGGCTGTTGGGCGGGTAGGGTTCAGGGTGCCCGGGCTGCATTTAGGAGTGCTTTTGTGTCTGGGCGCTGGCGTGGTGGGAGCCGGTTTGTCCCCGGCCGGCCATCCGCGTGGGAGCCGCAGCTCGCCGCTGGAGTTTCAGCGAGAGAATTCATTGAGCCGGCGACCGGCTTTGGGTTACTCATCGGGAAGGGCGCCGAGGGAGCTGCCTTGTTGTTTTGAGAATTGGTCTCCAAGTACAGACTGCATTCATGGTAACAGGATTATCTCTCAGCAGACAGCGCGGCTTCCCGAAATCGGCTGTGGTTTGGGGGCATCGGTCGGTCGGGGTGCGGGGGAGGGGAAGTGGGCAAAGGCGACCTGTCCACCCGTTCCGCCCCGCGCGCCGGGGCGCCGGCCCCTCCCCCCACCCCTTCTCGCAGGGAGCCGGCTATGGGGGAGGTAAGGGGTCAGCTTCTCGCCGTTGACAGGTCTAGTTTCAGACACACCTTCCCGGAGGAATGCGGAGGCTTTGTTCCAGCGCCCGTCCCAGCCCCGAGCCCAGAAGCCCGCGGGCATCAGGCCGGGACTCCAGTGCCATTACTCATCTTTTATAGCAACGCCGGCGAGCTCCCGGGTAGGCAAGTTAATTATTAATGTGTCTAGGCTGCAGGGAGGGAATCTGGAAATGAGATTGGTGGGTTGCAGGTTTTTCTTTCCCTTTTTTGGCGTTGGCCATCAAGGTTTAAGCCCAGGGTATTGCAGCCTATTTCCTGAGAAGGATGCTGGCATTCCCCCAGTGACCGGCACTCCGCGAAAGGGACCCCATTTCCCCATCTGTGGGACAGCCCCATCTCCCCCCGGAGGGCACAGAGGGAGCAGCTCTTGGTTTTTTATCTACTTTGGAACCGGCCCATACCTTTCCTCCTTTGCCTTCTGAAACCAACCTCATTCCCGCCGCCTGCCTCAGAGCAGCTTCCAGGCTCAGGTGTGTGAGACCTGAGCCCTCAGCCGGTAGCCTGAAGCCTTCTGAAAAGAGCTGCCGTGTCCCAGCCTCAGTGCCTGAAAACCTCCGCCCTGCTCAACAAGTGCCCTGGGGTATGTTTTCAGGCCCCTGCTCTGTAGGACTGTGGGCCGAGGCAAAAGTGTCTGTCAGGTGGTCACCTGACCTGCCTCTCCCAGTTCCCTCAGCTCCAAGAGGAAGGAGGAGGTCAAGGTTGAGGAAGAGCTGAGGGCGGAGTTCTTGCTCTGGTTTCAGTTTCCCTCCCGGCCGGCTGGGAGAAGGTGGATTCTAAAACTGGTAGTCTCACCAGGTGTGCTCTGTGTGTGCTATTGAATAAGAATGGGAGGGCCCAGGTTTCAGTGGATGGCTGTGGATGAGGCTTGGCTTGGTGGATTGGGCTGGCTGGAGGGCTGAGATTTTGCCCCAGCTGGAGCCTGAGGAAACTTGTCAAACTCAGCCCTCCTGGCAGCATTGTGCCTTAGAGACCTGGGACACTGCTTTTTCTTTGTCAGTTTAGGATAGAGGACTCAGCCTTTTAAACTGAAGGGTTGGCAGATCTGTGATGAGAAGATGAGCTTGCCTTGGAAGTTGACGCTTTTGAGGGTGCAAGAGGGGGCTGGGCTTATGGGGGGGGAGACGAATGTGGGGAGGAGGATGGGCTTATAGGGGTGAGGAGTGCAGGGAGGGGGATTTTAGCTCTAACTGTGGGCTGTGAACTGCATCAGAGCCTGTTCGCTGACAGGCTGCTGTAGTACCCCACATCCCTCCCTTCAGTTGTCTGTCCCCTACCTCAGTGGCTTGGCTTACTGGGTTCCTTCTGGCTCTGGTCTCCAGGGCTGGACTGTTCTGTTCTGATGGCTGCCCAGGGACACCTAGTCCCCATCTCACCCCAGCCTTCCGGGGAGGAAATGAGTGGAGGAGGGCTTGGCTTCAGAGAGGCCTCTGATCCTGACACCCTGGGTTACTGGGGAGTCTGTGCCATCTGTCTTCCCACTGGGTTTGTGGTATGTGCACTCAGTGGCACCCCTCCCCCAACTCACATGCTTTTAGAGTGCCACCTTCTCCAGCAGTGCCCTGAGCTGCTGGTGATCTGCTGGCACTCTGCGAGTTGAGGATTTGGAGATGGTCCTGATTAAGAACAATTTTTTTTTAGATTATGGGAAGTCTGCCATCTAATGTTTGCTCACTTGCAGCCTACTGGTCATAGCTGAATACTCATTGATAATGGCCTGGCCACTGCCTGGGAAGCTACTCAAGGTGATTCTGTAAAGAGTAGGTGGGTCCCTGGGGGCACTGTGAAGCAAACAGGAGGTCATCAGGGATTGTGACATTGTGGGGAAAGTGAGGCAGCTGTTATAAAGGCTGTGGGAATTGTGGGGTGAATGGGAGGAGATCAGAGTCACTGTGAGTGGTAGGGTCAGAGGTCTGAGCAGGGCTGGTTTGGAGATTCCCCCATGTGTCCTGTTCCTAATGTCCATGCTGGGCACAGCGGGCAGTAGGGGGGTCCAGCATCAGCTGAGACCTCTGTTCTGGGACCTGACTGCCACTGCCTCCTGGGAAAAGGGTCAGTCTTTCTCTCTGTACAGCAGCTCCTAGACTTCTCCTTTCCCTCTTAACAGAGGTGCTGGGTTTAGTGGTGGCTGTTACTGTGTTCCTCAGCCCCAGCTCTGGCAGGGAGCCTCTTCCTGGGACGGGCAGCTGGAGAAAGTACCCAGTTTAAGAGAGAGGTGCTCTGAAGTGCTCTGAATCACAGAAGATCAAGAGGAGAAACAATAAAGACCCTGGCAGTCTCTGCAGTCTTGATTTGTAAAATACAAAATTCCTCCCTAGGGTTTGTACTATCTCTGGTGAAGAGAAAAAGGGCTAGTTATTCCAGGTCTGTGTCCCCTGCGTCTCCAGGTGAGGGGAGAGAGAATGATGAGGAATTAGTTGAGGCGTATGGTTTGTGGCACTTTCTCTGCCCACTTGGGTTCAAACTCAGTCTCTGCTGTTTGCTAGCTTTGTGTTTGTGGGCCTCTCTGCCTCTCCGAGTCTGTTTCTTTGCCTGTTAAACAGGGATAAGGGTACCTCTCTTCACCCCCTCCCCCCAGTAGGATAACTGTGAGGATTATACAAGACGTTTGTAAAGGATTGAACACAGTGCTTGTTAATTGGCAGGTTTTTTTTTTTTTAATTAAAGGTAACTAGAGGATCCTTGGAGCAGCAGCTGAGAGGGTTGTTTTATTTTACAGAAGATGAGAATGTCAGAAATGTCATTTTGTGCCCACCCCAGAGGCCATACGTGGGCTCCTAGGGTCAGATATGAGAACTGTCCTGGAAGAGTTTCTTCTGACCTTCACATTAAGTCTGTTTTCCAGGCTCAAATTATTCAAAGAGGCCTTGGAGACCTGTGAATCCCTGACTGCAGGCACAGAGCATAATTGAGCTGGAAAGGTAGCAGCCTCAAACTCTTGCTAATGCAGCCATCTCTGGTCCAGCCATGATTGTGGATTGTTAGTCCCAAGAACAACCCGACACCTGGCACTTTTTTATCTCTGTAACTCTGGACGAGTCCTTTTGTCTCTTTGAACCGGTGTTCTGTGAGAGTAATAAAGCCTGCCTCTTATGATTAAATGGAATAGTGTATGCAAAACTGTAATGCAGTAATGTAATGCAGCTTACTATGTACCAGACTGTTCTAAGTGCTTTCATATATTATCTCATTTAATTCTCACAACAATTTATGGTGCAGTTAATTATTGCCCGCATTTTATTGACGAGGAAGTTGACTATTAGGAATTGTTACTGTTGCGTGGTTGACCCCCTGTGGAGATCATGCGTCTGAAGATCTCTGCCTCCCAGAGTAAGAATAAACTGAAGTTTCTGCAAGTACATTTGCATACTGCCTTTCTTCCATCCACCTATTCTAACATCTCCAGCTAGCTCTGGATATGTTTGTAACATGAGTAAAAGAGGTCCTTATTGGTCATTTTGGTTTTTCGGTGCCCCTCCCTTGTCCCCTCCGCCTTTCATCCATAGGCTCTGTGGGGCTTATAGACACAGCACCTTCTTGGCTGTTACTTTGAAGTGTCATTTGTGTGGGACTGTAACCCTCTTGGGCTCACTCACTTATTGGTACCTTTTAAGAACGAGGTTGCTGGTGGATCAAAGATAGTTGATATTAGGATAGTAATGCAAGATATGTAAAAAGGATTGTACATCAGCTTGCCTTAATGCTGGGCCACACTTAGGTACTGAGGATCAGTTGTATCTCCTTCTGACTTGAGTGTAATTCATGTAAATAAACTAAATGTTTGTGGATATGTAAAAAAAAAAAAAAGAAATAAAGAGGTTGCTAGCTTGATTTGACTTTAGGCAGAGGAAATGTTTGGTTTAGAGCCAACCATTAGGCTTGGAGCTTTCAAGGTCCCATCTTTCTTTCTAATGGTTCTGGTTAGCTATTTTGAATCCTTCCCTCTGCTCCAAACCAGCTGCCAGTGAGCACCCAGGTCTGAAGTTTTAAATGTGTTAGGGGAAAAAAAAAGGGAAGGAAGAAACAAACACCCTGTGAAAATAAGGACTCATGGCTGGTGGTGTTTCAAACACGGGTGGTGCTCATTAACAGAGTTATGATCACAGCCTCAAATTTATTCTCATTACTTTTGTAGCACGTTTATATGATAAGAAAAAGGCTGCAGCTTTGTGGGTTATTCTTTCTTTTTATGACAGGAATAACATTTATGGGCGTATAACACAAATAAAGGAATAAAGGTCAGGTTAGGAATAAAAAGTGAAAAGCAACTGGTGGGACTCCGGGCATAGTCAGAAGATTCCAGAGTTCTCGTTAGCAGAGATTTTTCACAGCACGGACCTGGGTGCCTTAGTTCCCACAGCAGCCTGGTGATGTCATCAGAGGGGTAGTGTTCCTGTCATTTTACTGGAAAATGGAGTAACTTTTCTGAGGTCAGATAGCCAGATATGTAATGCTGGAGACTGGACCCCAGGTC